ACGAGCAAGGAAGCGCATGTGATGTTAGTGACACGAGTTTATTTGAAGGTGGGGAATACCGAGAACAGATGAAAGCGTACCAGGCAACAGAGAGTAGAAGCCAAGGAGATGGAACTACAGGTCCCAAAGAAGAAAATGTCGTAGATGACGAAATACATGACGGCAGTGTATTACCGAAACGACCTGATTTGTCAAGTGATCTCACACAGCCATCATCGTCAGAAAGTAAGTAGAATTGGTGTAGTTCGGTCACAACTACATTTGGAGACTATCACAAGTGTTGAAGTTAGCCATGAAAAGGGATCTCAATCTGTGGTTACATATTATACTATTTCTGATTGTTTTTATTAGATTTGTTTATAATTATTATTTGTTAAGTTTAGGCCCTCTTTGATATTCATCGTGTTTAGAGTGATACTGTATTTACTTATGCAATTGTCTTCATTGCGTAATTTCTTTACCTGATTTGTGAGGAAAGGTGATCATTCTTCACACCACATATTTACCTCTCCTTAACTTTGCCAGTATGATTATGATCATGCTACATTCACCATTCTGCTTCTCCTTCTAATGGAATGGCGACTGATTTTGTGTTAACACAACACCAACACGTCACAAGAGACAATCCACAGATAAAACACCATCACATCTAGCTGTGCCACTGAAGTTTCTTAAAGTTTTAAACATTTTGAAGTTCAGTTGCTTCAGTTTTATTGTATTTAAAAAAAAAATTGAATCAATTTTGGACTAAACCAAGAATGAAAGTAAATCTTGGTTTTTAATATGAGTGCAATGACCATGTAGACAAATTGAACCTGAAGATAGCCACATGTAGTTTGAAAACCACTTAGAAAGTGGTAAACATTGTGCATCAAAGTGACCGGTTAAAACGGACATCAAGTATCTGGAGAGAAACATGCCAAGATCCTGCATTATAGAACAGACTTTGCAAGACTTTTTATTCAAAATTTGTATGGCTGTTGTTTTCACTGCTATAATTTATTTAACTGTATATTCATGCAGCAGTCTGATAGTTTTGTTTTATACATTTTGTTTCTATCTCGCGGATTTTGTCCGTTAGATATCCCCTCTTTTATTCCACTGAGCTTGGCTAGTCCCCATTTCTCTGCTTACGAACCACTGCATTATAGCCATCCTCTGTTCTACTGAAACGAGCACTCATTAAATCACGGTTGATTCCAAGAAATTTTGTGATACGCACTCTCAAGTCAGCCCCGCTTTCATATCAAACATCAGTCATACTTGAATGTCGTCTTCTGTTAGTTAAAATATAATGTGTATCCCGCCAGAAGTTAGTTCCAAGTGTGCTAATTTGTACAGTAATGTGGAAAAGTTGTGCTTTTAAGAGTCATAGTTTTGGATGCACTATTCTCACTCCATTGTCATTACGTCTCATGTAAATTATCATTTTGTAAAGTTGATTTGAAAATGTTCTCCCATTTGACATTAGTAATGAAATTTCAGAATTTTTTTTTGTACAGAATGATAAAACAGATGTTGAGATTCTTCATAAATGTTATCCTTTACATAATCACCATTATATTTGTCTGAGTTATGCATGTTTGTAATAATAATATTGCACCATCATCCTGAAGGATGCGTGCGACATTGTCACTAACAAATATGCGCTCTTAACTATGGTTTCCAGACACTTCTTTGTTACGAGGTATTACGATACTGGAAAGGTGTAATCCATTCTGGAAAAAAACAGAGGTTCTACTTGCATTCTTTATACCTTACATGTACTCATGTACTATGCAAGCATTACCAAAAGTATTATCCACAGAAGCGTAATAATAGACTGCAGATGATGTAAAAAAATCATATTTTTTCAACATATTATTTAATAATTTTCTCTTACCCTTATTCTGAAAATAGGCTGGAGCAAATTTCAATTCAATTTATGCCTTTTCCACGATCATCACAGTTGTTATCAGTAGAATGCTTCAACATTACGTTTTAAACATTGTTCGGTATGAACTTATTTATCAGAAACTGATTGCTGAGATTATAGCATAATATGACAAAAGAGGGTCTTGACTTTATTTCTATACATATATACTAATCAATACACGCAGTTTGTTGCCTATGTTATACGATGAAATATCTTTTAACCTGCTAATTTTAAAGAAAAACATTATTTGTAATAAAATACATCTTTGTGTTGCTTACAAATGTATTCTGAATATTTGCTTTCAGTAAAACATAAAATAATGTGCGTTAGCTCTGTGGTAGCGTACTGGACTCTTACACAAGTGATCGTGAGATTGAATCCTGATCAAGTTATAATTTTGTTATTGTTTGATTTGGCTGCCTTGTTATTTTACATTGTATAAATAATTACTGCACGAAAGGTGTGTTTTTCGAAAATCTACGTACAATTGTATGATCTACAGTAAGTCATGTTACTGCTGCACAGACCTCACAAGTTTGTTTGTATGCCGTGTTGGTATTAATGATTGTAGGGAATTAAGTTTAGGGTAGCCTCCAATGGGATTATATCCATACCACATTCCATCAAAATCTGCCACCAGTTCTCGAGTTGAATCATGTCGTCAAGCAAATAGGTTCAGCCCTGTGTATGTTCAAAGACTGTAAAAATGTAAAAGATGTCATTATTCAGTACTGTAATACTTGTTATATTGTATTAGAGGTTCTAAACCCATGGTCCACTGATGTGTTTTGTGCGGCCGACATAAATTCTGCAAATTTAAGCTCCCTGTGCTATGAACAATTAGTTATAGTCGAAATCATACTTTAATTTTTAAGTGAATAGTCAATAAATGTAACAGATACAAGTTTTTAAAGAACATTGAAAAATGTGTGAACCTGTTTGATAGTAAGCATTTTTAATACACCACTGCGAGTTTTCTATAAATTGTAATTATTTATAACCCAGAGGCTAACAAGTAAATAACAGAAGGTAAATGTGACCTCCAAGACTTAAAAAGGTTGGTAACCCCCTGTATTAGACTGCAGTTGTGGGTGAAATTGATCTACAGATCTTTGTATCTTACGAGATGCAAAGTGAAAGAATGGCTGTGACAAAATATGAAACTGAAGTTATTCTCTGCGTACTTTCAGCAACTAAAATGGATGCTATCATAACCTGACGGAAGTATAAATTCTTTCAGATGTGGAGCAGTATCGCCAGCTGTTAGGTGAAACAGGAGAACCTGATCAGAGTGATACGGATGAATTGGAACACCAGTTGGCTGCACTGGTAGAATCACAGCAAACTGGGTATGTAACGTTCATTGCAAGTACAATGTTTATGAAGCACTATGAATAGTATTTACAAATAAATTATTATATTTTAAGCCTGTCCTGGTCCCAGATTCTATCATATTATTTCACAAGAAATAGTTATTTTTGATTATTTAAAGTTCAGGCAAATAACTTGGGAATCAGACTCTTCAAACACAAAGATTGAAATATAAAGAAATCTAGTTTTACCCATTGTTTTGTATGGGTGTAAAACTTTGTTTCTCATGTTAAGGGCAACAGATTGAGGGTGTTTGTGTTTGTGTGTTTACATATGAGTTATTTTGGACCTGAAGTGACAGGAGGGCGGAGCTCTGTAATTTGTAGTCTACATCACTTATTATTAAGATGGCAAAATTAAGGATGAGGAGTTGGGTACAGCATGTAGCACACATGGTGATACGAGAAATGCATACAAAATTGTAATTGCAAAGCCTGAAAGGAAGAGACCACTCTGATCTAGTCATAGATGGGAAGATAAGGGGTGGATTAGGTTCATCTGGATTAGGATGGGGACCATTGACAGGCTCTTGTGAACACCTGAAGAAGGGCATTGTTCCACGGAGTTACACAAGTTAGTCCTGCAACCATAACAGGATGCCAGTGGTTTAATGCCATTTTATTTAGTGCTGAATGAAGCGAGAGAATGATTATAATTGAAATTCCTTTACAGAGAAAAGCATGAAAAGCAACTGCTGCCATCTGTTGCAACAGGAGAGAAGATGGAAAAACAAACACCAGGAAAAGTATCAACGTCTGTAGTTGAAAATATAGGCGAAAGCACCAAAACCACTGAGAGTGGTAAAAATATGACGGAACGGGCTAATAGGACGGATACTGAAACTGTTGGACATGCGGGAACTATGCATGGAAATCAAGAGGCACAGTCCAAAATGCTACAGACTTCGTCCAGACCGGCAAATGAACCAGTGGCTATACCAGAGGACGCAGGAACAGCAAAGACAACACAGATGTCTATTCCCAGGTCAGGTTCCAAGAAACTTCCAGGGTTGACAAAGATGCTGGAGTCAGATACTGAATCACTCCAGCTTGATGCAACTGTGTCCAACGAAGACAGCGACGACTTTGATTTCAGCAGTGACAAATAAGAGCACTAAGGCCCATAAACACAACATTAGAAGGTAGTAACAAATATTTAATTCACTTTATTAACTGTACCTGTACTGAGTTGGTAACAGACTAATGAAATATCGTAGAATTTTGTAACAAACTGACAGCTCAAATTTGTAATTTTGGACCTTCGTAGTCAATTCTGTTTTGAAATAGGACAGTTCGAGTTTATCACATAGAAGTGGTGGTACTGTGATGTGTCAGGAGGGTACATTAGTATTATTATTATTATTAATGAGTGTTCTGTCTTACGACAGGTCCATTGCTCTGCCCAAAAAGAGCTCTCCAGTTGTCCCTATTCTCGGCTTCTCGCTTTAATTCCTGGAACGTCATCTTCTTTCCTTGTTTAAGATCGTCTATCACTCAGTAATCCATTCCTTCTCATAATATGTCCCAGCCAGTTAGCTTTCCTTCGTGTAATCGCCGGTACATTAGTAGGGCATTGAAAAAAGTGTGGAATGATATTAAGTACATATTCTGATTAAATTAATTCTAAACAAAAGCTTTGACGAACATGAACACTATATATACTGTTACATTTATTACATACCAGAATGTGCAATTTTGATGGAAATTTTATTGAACTGTAGTACTGATATTTATATTTATGAAGAATAGCCATTTTTAATGCTTCGTAGAATGCATTTCTCTTTTTCAGAGCCTTTATTATAAATGCCTTAAAAACAGAAAGCACAAATAACATTCAAGTCGGTTCTTGACATTATGAATCCTTTAAATTAGCCAGTCACAGTCACCACGAAAAATTGTCATCAGACTCTGCTAAAGAGAGGTCCACGTAGTATTATATTTAGATTCACAAGTTATTTCCGAGTGCCAGTTTGTTACGCGGTCTCCACCAGCATTCCTCAATCTTATTTGAGCTTCATACTGAAGAAATTTCATTTAATGATACCAGAGACGAGTCTGGTATTTCTGTACCCAAGGTAAAGCTATGTAGCGGGAGTGACACTAATGCCATGTGACATGGGGCTCTAAAGTAATGGGTGATAAGAGATCTTTAAAATGTTATGTACTAGTCATACAAACAACTGTTTCATAATATCTTTAAGCATGAACATGTAATCAAAAATGATCTGCCACGCCCCAAAGACTCAAATTAATTTTTATGAAGGAACATGGAATTCAAAATAATGTTTCCCATTCCATATCTCCCTCCTCCTCAAATCAAAACATCTTCCAGAGAAACATGGAACCTAAAATTATCTAACCCCTACTTTTCCCCTTTGCAAAAAAATTATGACAGATTACCTACAAGCCGCCAATTTTTATATTACAATTCAGTACTCTTTAAAAATACATTGTTTGGTTTACAGATTACTATGAAATATTGTTACGAATGATGCAATTTAAAACAGATTACAACTGCTGTTACTATTAGGTCAGTCTCGGTTTCTTTTCTGGTGGTGGTTTCATGTTACGTGGGGTATCTGGTTTCTCTGTCTTCACTTCTCGAGACTCTGACTTTGGTTCCTCTGCAAAGAAGAAAAAGAAGAATATTCTAATAAATGCTAATGTTGTGTTGTCAAAACAACATTGACTATTTTGGGATTCTTATGAACATTTTTCCAGTAGGAATGTGTAGATGTTCAGGTTCTCAAATTTGAAGTTTTGTCTTCAGTGTGACTTCAGACTTTAAACTTTTATCCACTAAGTCTAACTGTGTGTAGAACAGAGCCTTACTGCAAAGACTGAATTGTTTCAGGCTGCATGAACATAAAATTATACTCTTCTCTAAACATTATGAAGATCAAATTGAGGATGTGATGCCACGGCACGTAGCACACGTGGTGAAACGAGAAATGCATATACAGTTTTGGTTGGAAAACCTGACAGGAAGAGAAAACTTGTTAGACCTAGGCATAGACGTAAGGATAATATAAAATGGATCGTAACCCCTTAAGTGGGCTAAGTGCATATATTCTTGAAAAAAATTAATATTGGGGCTCTAGGAGTGTGGCAATCCTGAATGGCCGAAAGGTTAAGACCATTATTTTCTTAGATTTGATTAGAGAGTTCAAATATTATATTTCACCAAAATCTTTCATTATACAGCGACAATTTTTCATAGACAATGACAGAAATTAAATCTTGTGGACAAATTCTAGTAATGGTCGCCAATACCAACTTTTATGAAATTTGTCCATGCAGTGAACACAGCCACCTAAAACTGAAACCTGAATTTAAACTGAATTGAACTTGCAAAAAGGTTTGTGTTTGAAATTCAGATGGTTCACACATTTCATCTCGCAAACTATGAAAATGTTCACAAAGGGTCACACAATTTGTGCATGTAAGAAGCATACAAATGGCAAAAGAAGAAAGTTTTGTTTCGTTTCAATATATGTAGCTGAAAGATGGATATTTAATATGAAGGAAAAGAATATAATTCAAGTATTGGAAATTGCAGTGACAGGACAGAATTACAAATCACAGGGAAAATCATAAATGAAAGAATTTAAAAGAGATGATGAAAGAGAATGGGTCCCTCAAAATCAAGAGAGCAATGGATATATGAGAGGAGCAGAGAAAGATACCAACAGCGATACTGCAAACCAGTTACTGGATTAAAATAAGGTACATACCTGAAGAAGGCTGTTTCTGGGGTGGTGCAGCAGCAAAAATCGAGTCAGTTCTACCAAAAGCATGTCTACACGATGGCGTTGGAAGAGTGAACTTGGTTCCTCTCGCTGTGTTTCTTTCTTTGCCACCAAACGTTCTGGAACCTTACGTTCCTTAAAGTCCCATGAATAACCTTTGGAAGGGTGATATCGTGAATATGAATTTGCTTCTTCAAAAGCTGACTGCAGATGATGCACTGCTGATATCTGCGGCCACACAGATATATATTAAAGAAGAGTTTGTAAATACAGTGCCTAAAATTTATTGTCCATACAAGATGGGGTCATACCTAGTTCAGATTATTCATTTCTAAGGATTTTCTGTTTTGACAAGTAATTTATATTGCTGTTGACGTCAGTTGTTGAGAAATTGGGGAGCATGTTTCCTTCACTGATCTTCTCAAACAAAAAAATAAATCTAGACCAGAAGGCTAGTGTTTCTACATGAGATAACTCATGAAGAGGATAGAAATGTTGAGTAAAAACAATATATTTTAAATATGAACATTTATGCAATTGTATTTACATGTTATTTTAATTAATATAAATATTACACTGTAATACGGTACTTAAGAAAATGTAACATTTTGCTGAGACGAAGTCTACTGAGAAAGAATAGTGTTAACACGTTCACTGACAGGTGTTCAAAAGCAGAGTGTAATTAAAGCTTGATGTCCGGGTTATTTAGAGTGGTGGGTTTTTTTTTTGGCACTGACGACTGGAAAACCCTGATTTTGGTGGTGGCATTGTCAAGATAGTGACTGACTGAAGACTAGATGATCAGGTTCAATCCCTGACAGGGCCAGAGAATTTTTCCTCTAGCCTCTGCTTTCAGACTGGCCCTGCAGCCCACCCAGCCTCCGATCTAATGGGTACCAGGGTCCTTTCCTGGGAGTAAGGCGTGGCTGGGGCATGACACTGGCCAAACCCCTCTATCTAGTGCTGAGGTTAAGAATGAGTACGAGGTACCTCCCGCGGCATATCACGGGACAGCTTTACTTTTTATATGTCAAGATAACTGATGTTGCTGAAATTCAGGGTGAAGATAAACGACAATCTATTCTACTGTACTTCTACTACTACTTAGTGTTCTGTCTGACGACAGGTCCATATGAACAGGATCCTTCCATCCTTTTCTCGGACTGGGACCTGTTCATATACGTTCCTGGCAGATGATCCAGAAGTGGTTTGCCATTGCCTTCTTCTGTGTGTGAATGGAGTAATTGTTGGGATGCCACGGAGGAAAACTCCGTGTTGCCTAGACCACGGCCTTGCCCAACACAAGTTATAAATTCGGGCACCGCCGGGAATCGAACCCGAGACCCCAGGATTACAAGGCCAGCGTTCGAACCGCTAGACCACCGTGGCTCTACTGTACAGTTGGTCAAAATTATAATAAATTGAGAAACATCTGTATTATTGTTCTGTGGATTAGATCATAACGTAGAGAGCTACTGGCAACAAAAGAATCCTTACAGAAACTCAAAAGGCCGTATACATTTTCTCAACTTACTAATCTGGAGTTGACGACAGAGATGAGGTCAGGTGCCTGGTACACAATCCCAGCAATGATGTAATAGTCCGTAATAGGTGTAGCATGTGTTGGCGAATGACGATGTTGTTTTCGGATGACATACAGAATAGGTTCTTGTACATGCAGCAGCATGTACTCCAACCCAGTCATATTGCTGTAACCGATAAAGAGCCAACTATAGCATAATTCATATAAGTATGCAAATAGCCTCTTTAATGAGGAGCCAGAACTTATTCCATACAGATGGCTATAAAAATGTTAAAACAAAATAAATATTTGGACAACACAGGTTATGATTTTCATTATCTTTTGTTACACATAGAAAGCAGCTTACTTTAGTTGTTCTGGATTCAGGCGTTGCATCTTAACGATCTCATTGTTGCAAGTTCGATCAAAGAATGGATTGCTGCGTTCAGAGAAATAGTCCATGATGTTGCTTTGATTCAGCATTGGTATCCAGGCACTATCATGCCAAGATAAGCCCAAGGGATTGTCTACAATAGTTTATAAAACATAAAAATGTGAGGTTAGGTTAGGTTAAAACAATTTTAGGAACTGAGTCAGTCACTGTACATATCTTACAGAAGTTTGATATAATGGTTTGACCAGTCATATATATCTTAACTACAATAGTTGCATTGTTTTAAACTGATTCATAAAATTATTTGGCTAATTGCCTTGTTAAAGAGTACAGATACTCGAAGAAGATTATCTAATTACATGATATTCATGCAATGCAAAACATTTAAAGTATATGTAACACACACACGTAACATGCATGTCTCTTCCATGGTTTTTGTACTCTCTGAATTTACTTTATAATGACGATGGTGAAAGACATTAAAAATCTTAGTAGGCACATAATAAATCCGAATGTTTCATTTTATGCCCCAGAATAATTTTTATTGGGTGGACACATATATGCAAAACACTGAAAGTATGAAATAATTACATCAAAACTGACAATACACTCTTAGAACGCTTGCCTTGGAAGTTTGTTATAGTACAAATTCACAGATTTGTTCCACACTCATTACTGCAGGATGTGTACTAATTATTTGATGAAGTACACATATAATAATGTTTATAACATACTATGTTTTACAGCCACCACTTACCTGGCAAACAAGATGTTCTTCCCGGCATCATTGTTCTTCGTTCAGACGTTTCGGTGGACTGGACAGAACAATAAACTGATATGTAATGGATGTCATGTTTATATAATACCATTAAAGTAAATAATCTGTATTCACTGTATTAATTATTTGGGCGTGATGCACAACAGGAAAGTTTAAGTGTTCTGAAACACATTATCCAATCCAAGTTCCCCCGTATTGTAAAACCACGGGGCTCATTTCACTTGCAACCAGGAAACAATTTTTAAATCGAGTGATTCAAAAAAGGTTATTTTGCTGCTAGTACAGACATACACAAAAACTGTGTCCACCCACCCTGAAAGGATAAAACTGAATACCGTGTATAGGAACATGCAAAGGAGGCCACGCATAAATTACATTGTATGAATACAATAATTATAGGGAGCAGCGTTTGAAAATCAAACGCCCATAGACATACTGACGTCAATAACGTACAAAATATAGAGTTATACATACTATAAGAATCGCAAAATGTAATGACACTGCAATGATTCCATACAAATTGTGTCATTACCCACCTATCACTTCTCCATATACGAACCGTACTTATAATTTACAAAACTATGGTAACAATTAAAAAAGATTATCAGTAATACCAACAACACGCAACAGTTGACAGCAATTTTTCACCTACTGACTTTAGCGTTTCGAGTCGCTTCTGCCATCTGTTAAGAGACTCTAGCAAAGCTTTCCGGCTTCGGTAGCACGATCATCGAAATGTTGTGGGATGTGAAGAGACTTTATGAATAATGGTTGCTATTATCTGCATATGGCTCTACAGTTACTCGAATTGCATTTAGGATTCAATTTATTTGTTATAGGAACACAATGTTGGACACTGTTCGTTGTTTGAGGTATATTTGATATACGTACGCCATACAAGAACCAGTCCCTGCCAATTCCGATCTCACCCAAACTGCGCTTCAACCGGTCTCCTTCAGACACGGTCTCTGCCAGACTCCGCATGTCTCAGAGGTTAGGTTATGTTCGGTTAGGGTAGGCTAGGCTAGAGATTGTCATACAGAGACCAGACGTTACTGAGAGAGGTTACGTCAATGAGGCAGAGCACTATGCTGACAGCGATTGGGTGGGGAGAATTTTTGAAAACTTTGAAAAAATTTTGAAGGTAAAATTTTTCAAATTTTTTTGGTTTTGTGCGCCTTTTGGCCTTCTCGAAGGTATCACCACCTTGTCGAAGGCAATCTGCTATGTTACGAACACATTAACCAAGCCTCGGATCAGGATGGACTCTTTGGGACGACCACGGCAATTGAAAAAGGACATGAGATTTGGCATCTATAAGGCTGGGGCACTGAAATCAGTGAGTAGGGAATTAGAGAATTATAAGTTAGACTTGGTGGCAGTGCAGGAAGTGCGATGGGAGGGGGAGGGCACAATCTCAGTGGACAATTTTACATTTTTCTATGGAAAGGGGAATGACAATCATCAGTTAGGGACGGGTTTTTTTGTTCATAGCAGAATTAGGGCAGCAGTTAAGAGAGTAGAATTTGTTAGTGACCGGTTGTAATTTTGGAAGGACGTTGGTGCGACATCATTGTCCTTAATGTTCATGCCCCAACTGAAGACAAAAGCGATGATATCAAGGATAGCTTTTATGAAGAATTGGAATCAGTATTTGATACATTTGGCAAGTATCACATGAAAATTCTGCTAGGAGATTTCAATGCAAAAATAGGGAGGGAGGATGTCTTCAAACCCACAATAGGCAGCGAGAGTCTCCATGCACTTAGTAATGATAACGGTCTTAGAGCAGTAACCTTCGCTACGTCAAAAGATTTAATTGTAAAAAGTACAAAATTTCCAAACCGTGATGTTCATAAATACACTTGGACTTCCCCAGATGGCAGAACACACAATCAAATAGATCATGTTTTAGTAGATAAGAGAAGGCAGACAAATGTAATTGATGTGAGATCATTCAGAGGAGCAGATTGCGACACTGATCATTATCTGGTGGTAGCAAAAGTGAGGGAGCGGCTTTCAGTAAGTAGACGAACTAAACAAAATTTTGACACAGAAAGATTTGATTTGAAAAAATTAAGTGAGGGAGAGGCAAAGGAACAATATCAAGTTGAAATTTCGAATAGGTTTCAAATTTTAGAGACAAATGAGGATAATGAAAGTGTGGACATCAACAGGGAGTGGGAAAATGTCAGAAACTGCATCAAAATTTCAGCAAAAGAGAAACTAGGATACTACAGGAGAAAGCAAAATAAACCGTGGTTTGATGAAGAATGTTCAAAATTAATAGATCGAAGGAAGCAAACAAAATTTCAATGGTTGCAGAACCCAAACAAAACAAATGCGGATAATCTATGTAACGTGAGACGTGAGGCTAGTAGAACCTTTAGGACTAAGAAAAGGGAATACCTGAAGGGCAAAATTGCTGAACTTGAGACAAATAATAAGGAAAAAAACATCAGAGACCTGTACAGAGGCATTAATAACTTTAAGAAAGGATATCAACCCCAGACTAATTTGGTAAAGGATGATAGTGGCAATTTGCTTGCAGATCCAATAAAAATTGTGAATAGGTGGAAAAATTTCTTTAGCGAGCTCTTAAATGTTCATAATACTGGTGATATTAGACAGATTAAAATGCATACAGCTGAACTGTTGGTGCCAGAACCTAGCTTAGATGAAGTGGAACTAGCCATTGGGAAGTTGAAAAGTTATAAATCTCCAGGAATTGATCAGATTCCGGCCGAATTAATTAAAGCAGGTGGCAAAGGGTTGCATATGAGGATCCATAAGCTTATTCAGTTAATTTGGGATAAGGAAGAGATGCCACATCAATGGAAGGAATCCATAATTATTCCTATTTATAAGAAGGGGGACAAGACTGAGTGTGGTAATTACCGAGGAATATCGCTGCTATCAACCTCATACAAAATTCTATCCAACATTCTTTTGGCAAGATTAACCCCATATGCGAATGAAACTATTGGGGATCATCAGTGTGGGTTCAGACGAAACAGATCAACGATTGATCAGATCTTTTGCATTCGTCAGATACTAGAGAAAAAATGGGAGTTCGGTGGGACTGTACATCAGTTATTTATAGATTTCAAAAAAGCCTATGACTCTGTGAAGAGAGAAGTGCTATATAATATTCTTATTGAATTTGGTATACCAAAGAAGCTAGTGGGTCTAATAAAAATGTGCTTAAATGAAACCTGCAGCAAAATTCGAGTAGGTAAATATGTATCTGAGACATTCCTCATCAAGAACGGTCTAAAACAAGGAGATGCTTTGTCTCCCTTGCTCTTTAACTTTGCGCTAGAATACGCCATCAGGAAGGTCCAAGGTAGGCAGGAGGGTTTGCAATTGAACGGGACACATCAGCTATTGGCATATGCTGATGATGTTAATTTATTGGGGGACGATATAAATACAATAAAGAGGAACGCAGAAGTTTTACTAGAGGCTGGTAGACAAGTGGGGCTGGAAGTAAATTCAGAAAAAACTAAGTACATGTTAGTATCTCGTCATCAGAAGACAGGCGGGCAAAATTATCTTAGGGTAGCTAATAAATCCTTTGAAAGGGTTACAAAGTTCAAATATTTGGGAACAACAATAACAAATCAAAATGATACTTGTGAGGAAGTTAGGAGGAGACTAAATTCCGGAAATGCTTGCTACTTCTCAGTCCAAAATATTTTGTCTTCCCGTCTGATTTCTAAGAACCTGAAAATTAAAGTATACAAAACAATAATCTTGCCTGTTGTTTTGTATGGGTGCGAAACATGGTCTCTCACTCAGAGGGAGGAACACAGATTGCAGGTGTTTGAGAATCGGGTGTTGAGGAGGATATTTGGGCCTAAGAGGGAAGACGATGGGGCGTGGAGAAAACTGCACAATGACGAGCTTAAAAATCTGTACTGCTCCCCCAGTATTGTGAGGGTGATTAAGTCGAGAAGAGTGAGATGGGCGGGACATGTAGCGCGCATGGATGGGACAAGAGGTGTGCACCGGGTACTGGTTGGGAAACCTGAAGGGAAGAGACCGCTGGGGAGACCTAGACGAAGATGGGAGGATAATCTCAGGCGGGATCTATGGGAGATAGGAGTTGAAGGAAACTGGATTTTGTTGGCCCAGGACAGGGTCCGGTGGAGGGCTTTGGTTAATTCGGTGATGAACCTTCGGGTTCGGTAAGCCATTTCTTAAAATTTCAAAGGTCTCCTAAAGAGATGTATGCCAGTCTCGGCAATGCCACATAATGTCACTACCGATGTCAACCACTATCTCACCCAGTTGCTGCCTGCCTCAGTGTCTGCACCAACCGGCCTCTGCTGGACTCAGTTCTCTGCAGATGAATGCACAGACCAAGTTCGTCAAATAAAAAGCACATCAGAATAAGTCCGACACAGACCGGTTCTGCAAGGTCTCGTGAGAAGTCGAATGTCCCAAAACGCGAGAAGCCGCAAGTCCTAAGTCTTCAGAAGTCACTTGTCCATATTTATCTGAGTAATTTACCATCCAGAACGGTCTAAAACAAGGAGA